CACACACACACACACACACAACACACACACACAACACACACACACACACACACACACACACACAAACATCAAACTTTAAAAAATATTGTAAAAACATTATTTTAGCAAAATACTGATTAATCATATTTCGATTAATTTGGCAGTGTGTACAAATTGTGTAGCATGTCTCAAGGGTATAAAAGGAAGCTAATCAGAGCTATAAACCTTGTCACAATCAACGGACATGAAGCAGATTGTTCATTTTTTACTCCCCTATTAACACATACATTTAACACAATTTAGGATAGGAAAAATCAAGTCGTTACATTTAAAAAAGAAGTAAGATGAAAAAGCATGTCTACGAAAGAAAAAGAACGACTTTCACGTTTAGAAATGTTCTTTTACTAGAAACATTGGCAATACGATGCCCCCCCCCCTCCCAACAATAACAACAACAACAACAACCAAAAAATCGAAACAAACAAAAACCCAACTAGTTCTACTTCTTCGAGTGCCAGATCTGAATCAGAAATCGGTGACCACAGCTCGCAACTCATTTCAACGAGAAAATTGAGAACTACACATTATGTATGACACAAAAACAATAAATAGCTGCAAAATAGACTATGATACAATATGTGCATGTATGTTATACAATATCACAAAAATTGCTTTAAAAAAAGATTAAAGTAATTAAAGGTCAACCAGTGCCAGCTATAATATACAAACTGTTCTACAGCCAATGAAAATAGGATCAAAGCCCTGAATTAGAAAAAAAACAACAAAAACAAATTGAACAGAGTAGAAGCAAAACAGAAACGTAAGTTTAGCTGTTTCGCGCCTCCATGGACACCAGTTAGGTTATTTGAGAGGCAAAAACGCTAATGATTTCAAATTATAATTATTAAGTTCCAATTTTCCTCCACCTTTAATTCGTCAATTCCCCGCCCCCACACTCACACACAACCACACACAAACACACACACACAAGCACACACAGGCAAACGGATAACCGTAATATATATCTGAATATCATATTCATATCGCACATGTAATAGTTTGCAATACTATATAGTGTATCGAGTAAACTGCTAACACACCTAGAAAGGACGAAAAGACTACACGGATCCCTATACATAGGCACTTTACAGTTTAAATTATCGTCCAATCCTGGCTGCAGATCGACTCAGTCGGAAGTGGGAAGTGCCGTATTATACCCATCTCACAGTGCTAATCGAATTTTGTCGAATTGAGTCGGGACCAGCCAGATTATCCCCACCCACCACGAGGCAAAACATACCATCTTGGCAAAATTCGAACAAATTCGATCGGGATCTTCAAAAACCCAAATGTGTTTGTTCTTCAAGGTAGACTGACGAACGGTCGGATGTGTACAGTGTGTGCACAGAATGTGATAATAAATAGCGTAGATTCAGTTTCGCTTTAATAATAATTTTACAACGCTTGTAACAAAATAAGGTCATATAAGTGCCGAAGATTAGAGGTGTTACAAGAGAGTAACAATCACAAAAAGGAGGAGGAGAGAGGAGGACGACAGGTTTTTTTTAATAGAAAAGAAGGAGCAAATCACACCAGAGCACCCACCAACCACCTTAAATGTAGATTTGGAGAATCTGATACTAATAGATCTAGAGTGCTCTGTGAACTGAAAAGGCCATTAATCGATCAGACCAGACATGATCCGATCCGTAATGGGCACCGGGTATAAGCTGACAGATGGAATGTGATAGGATGGTGTTGGTTTACGTTGACACAACTAGTAACAACATTAGGATAATTTGAGTTGCAGAATATTGTCGGGAAGCTATGCAACTGTTCTAAGCCCAGTCCAGAAGCATTTTTTCCTCAGGAAAAATTTTCATACATTATGCCTGGTGTCGGGGGTAAAATTAGAGAGAAAATGACCCCCTAAGTTTGGTGATTTCCAAATCTTGAGCGTCCTTGGAAACTGAAAATTCACTTTTTTCTGTACCATTAATCAACATGTTCCCCCCCCCCCTGTAAAATCCACATAGAAAAGTATTTTTTTATATTTCCAAATGGGCATATAAGGCGTTAAGAAATCTCCCCCTCCCCCTTTCCATCTTCCATGCCAACTCCCAAGAAGAAAAACAAACATACATAACATGTGTTCCATAAAAATTGCCCACCAGCAGAACAATTTTGAAGAGAGTCTCATTGCACTGCAAAGACACACGTATCGTCCGCCAGCTGTTCAAATGCACTAAGCCTAAAATTGTTATCTTTTTCAATTTTTTAAAAAACCTTTGGTATCGGGAGCATGTGCCCAAGAAACATTATGCCGAAAGAAATTCAAATTCGAAATGCTGACAATATCGCCCCTCCCTCC